CCTCAGGAAATCTGGCTCAGCAGGCCCAGGCTGTTTTAGCCAAAGCTCCTGCTGTGTCCAGGGTTCTTAGAGCTTGTGTCTGAAAGGTCATTCCCCAACTTTTTCTTACAGGCATTTTCAGAATATCAGCTAAGATTTTATTTTCCCCTCAGTAGAATTTTTTTTTTCTTCTGTGTTTGAATTCAGATGTCATTCTTATTTCTGTCAAAAGTTTTCTTAAAAATCTTCACTTGTTTTTGGCCATAGTCCACCTATTTAATCCCAAAGGTGAAAAGTAAGGTATCTTCCATATCTGTCCCATTGTTCTCAGTTGAGTGGGAACTGCTTGGTTTTAGGGTGTCTTGGAGTTGTTTGGTGGAAGAGGTGGGCAGGATCAGGGGTGGGGTGAGGAAGTGGGTGGTATGTGTAACAACTTACCCTGGCACTCCATTTAAACCAGGATGTGTTGAAACATTTACACAACTTTCCTCGTGTGCACTGATCTGCCTTTCCACCTTCATTCAACCCTCTTTATAAATAAATGAACAAAAGGAAATGTTCTGACACCTGGAATAATCTGTGCCGAGATACAAGATGATATGGAGGAATGGTTTCCCCTAATACGGCAGTGTACTGGTATGGTTTTATGGATTAGTTATTTAATAAAATGAACCATTAAAAAACAGAACATATGACTCATTTCTTTATTGTTGTCTTTTGGTAAAATGGGCATACAGTATGTTTTCTGTACTTTGCTAACAGGCTATGGGGCATGAGGTTTTGCCTCCAGAGAATTGGTCGGATACTCTTTGGGACATCAACAGAGAAATCCTGAAATAGGGATGGTGGCTCTTGCTCACAGATTTGTCTGTGTCACTAATAGAAGGCTGGAGAACCAGGAGTCCCTTCAGGTCTCCAGGGCAACAGGCCAGGTGACCAATCAACTCCTAGGCCCAGGGTCATTGTTGGAGGCCTAAATGTTGCTATGACTACTGCAGCCTTGGTGACTGAACTAAACAGAAAGGAGAGCCTGCTCAGTCTCCTCAGACTTAAGCAAGCAAGTCTGTAGACATGTCTGCGGAAAAGATAACAAAAGTAGAAGAGGTATGCAGAATTGGAAGGAGGGACTGGGTTGAAGGAGTTTCCCTTGAGAAGGTTTGCAGATCAGTTTTCTTAGAAGTAGGCTATTTATTGGGGAAAGCGCTCGATTTAAGACTAGGGTATAGTTAGTAACAGGAGTGGGAGACTATGTCTAGCATCTAATAGATAGTCAATGTGCCAGGTGCAGTAGTACACACCTGTAACTCAGGAGGCAAGGCAGAGAACCACAAGTTCAAGGCCAGTCTCAGTAACTTATCAAAAAATAAAAAAGCCCAGGGATGTAACTCAATGCTTCTGGGTTCAAACCCCAATACTGGGGAGATAGGGGGCCAAATATCAACTCTTGCATGTTTTTTTTTTTTCTGAAAAGTGTAGAGCTTTCTTCCCACCTCCCTTAGGAAATTGACTACTTCCTATCTCAAAAAATCTATGAATCTTGTACAAGAAAAGGATACTTGCCGTTAGTGAGGTTCTGGAGATTAAAGGCAGATCAACAGAATTTCCCTTTTCTTGCAGAACTTTCAAAAGGCCCTAGAATTTAAGAAGATGGTCAACAGGTAATCTCTGCTTCTCTTACCCTTACCCTTCAGCTTGACCTTTCTACACTCCTGTCGCTAAGCCACACCGCCAACTCTGTCTCATTGAGGGCTCATTAAAAGAAAACAGCTCAGGAGCTGAAGCAGGAAGATCACAAGTTCAAAGCCAGCCTCAGAAAAAGCAAGGCGCTAAGCAACTCAATGAAATCATGTCTGTAAATAAAATAGAAAATAGGGCTGGGGATGTGGCTCAGTGGTCAAGTGCCCCTGAGTTCAATCCCTAGAACCTACCCCTAAAGAAGAAAAAAAAAGAAAAAGCCTAGGCCTGGTGGCACCTGCCTGTAATCTCAGCTACCAGGAGTCTGAGGCAGGAGTATCAAGTTCTAGGCCAGCCTCAGCAATTTACCAAAACCCTATCTCAAAAAATAAAAAGGGCTGGTGATGTAACTCAGTGTGAGGCCTTTGGGTTGATCCTTAATACCGCAAAGAAGGGGAGAAGGAGGAAAAAGAACTCTGATGCCAGGTCTTCCTCCCAGGAGATTTTGATTGAAATGTCTGGGATAAGATAGAAGAATCCTATTTTTAAGAATATTGGCCAGGTGCAGTGGCACACACCTATAATCCCAGTGTCTCAGGAGGTTGAAGCTGGAGGATCGTGAGTTCAAAAGACAGCCTCAGCAACTTAGGCCCTAAGCAACTCAGAAAGACCCTGTCTCTAAAATAAAATACAAAAAAAGAGCTGGGGATGTGGCTCAGTGGTTAAGTGCCACTGGGTTCAATCCCCAGTACCAAAAAAAAAAAAAACCTTTTTCAGGTGGTGTACACTTGTAATCCCAGTATCTGGGGAGGCTAAGGCAGGAAAAATCAAAGTTTGAGGCCAGCCTCAGCAATTTAGCAGTTTAGATCCCGTTTAAAAATAAAAAGTAGAGCCAGGCACAGTGGCACAGGCCTGTAATTCTAGCAGCTCAGGAAGCTGAAACAGGAGGATCATGAGTCAAAGCCAGCTTCAGCAATGACAGGTGCTAAGCAAATCAGTGAGACCCTGTCTCTAAATAAAAATACAAAAATGGGCTGGGGATGTGGCTCAGTGGTTGAGTGCCCCTGAGTTCAATCTCTGGTACAAAAACAAGAATGTTCATGACAGAGTTGTTCATAAAAAATAAAGCTGGAATCTTGGTTAAATTATACCAAAAAAAAAAAAAAAAAACACAGCCTTTAAACTGAAGGAAGCAAATCTCTGTGTTCATATGAGAAGTCCAAATTGTTAAGCAGCTCTGTGTATGTAAATGTATAATGTCTAGCTGAGTGCTAGAGTGCTTGCCTTGAATGCCTGAGGTCCTAGTTTAGCTCCCCAGCAATGTAAGTAAGGAGGAAGAGGGGCTGGGGCTGGGGCTCAGTGGTAGGGCGCTCACCTAGCATGCACGAGACACTGGGTTCAATCCTCAGCACCACATAAAAATAAAAGATATCGTGTCCACCTAAAACTAAAAACTAAATATTAAAAAAAAAAGGAGGAGGAGAAGAAAGAAAAAAAAAAAGGAAGATATACCTGTTGGTATCTGATAGAAAAATTTCCTGGAAGGATGCATAAGAAACTTTTAAGTTTGTTGGGCAGTACTGGGTCAGGGCTAAGCTTTTTTTAATTGTTAAAGAAAAATTTTATTCAAAGAAAAACTAGGAGCTGTGCTTGCCTGTAATCCCAGCTGATAAGGAGGCTGAGGCAGAAGGATCAAAGGTTTGAGGCCAATCTGAGCGACTTAGTGTCTTGAAATGAAATGAAAAAGAGGTGAGAATGTGGCTCAATGTTACAGTGCTTGCCTGGCATTCAAGAGGTCTGTGTTCAATCCCATGTACCATGGAAAAAAAAAAGAAAAAGTAGAGTTGGGGACAATGAGCTGAGATCCAGGTCTGCCACTAAGTGACCTTGGGCAACTCACAACTTTCAGTTTCTTTGCCTATATCATGTAAAAGTTAATACCTGTGCCTCAAAGTTATTGTAATGATTAAATAACATAATTACTTAATACGTACCAGGTTCTAAATCAATTGTAGTTATCATTTTAAGGATTTTTGCAATCTTTTTAGGGGAAGGGTGGTGGTACCAGGGTTTATTTTTTTTTTATTTTTTTTAATAGTATTTATTTTTTAGTTATAGGTGGACACGATGTCTTTATTTTACTTTATGTGGTGCTGAGGATCGAACCCAGTGCCTCACGCATGCTAGGCGTACGCTCTACCTCTGAGCCATAACCCCAGCCCGGTACCAGGGTTTAAAACCAAGGCACAGGACCACTGAGCCACATCCCAGCCCTATTTTTATTTATTTATTTATTTATTTTTTCAGACAGGATCTCACTGAGTTGCTTAGTGCCTCACTTTTGCTGAGGCTGGCTTTGAACTTGCAGTCCTCTTCCCTCAGCCTCCCGAGCCACTGGGATTACAGGTGTGCGCCACTGTGCCCAGATGCAATCTTTTGACAATGGAACAAGGGTTCTAAGTGATGAAGCAGCCTCACTGATTGGATTTTTAATCTCCACTCCTTTTTTTTTTTTTTTTTGACTAGTTCATTTATTATTACTTTTTTACATTCAACTCTTTAATCTTCTGGTTTTTTTTTTTTTGGTGGTGGTGGTCCTGGGTATTGAACCCAGGGCCTTGTGCATACTAAGCAAGCACTCTACCAGCTGAGCTACATCCCCAACCCTTCCCTTCCTAATTTTAACCCATTCAACCACCACCTCTGTACCTTGGGCAGGTGGCAAACTTCACATATTCACTGTGCATGGCAGATGACATTGAGCCAGAGGAGAAACCCATACACCATCCTAAGGATGCAGGATGCCATGGTAAAGGAATTGGCACTGGCCAACAAACAACTACTGATGGTGAGTTCTAGGAGAATTGTGCCTTTTCCAGCTGGGATTTCAAAATATTAGTCTCTGTCATTACTCACCCAGCTCATTACACCAGAACATCAACTGTTTAACTCCAAGTGCCAAAGTTCTTTTTCAATAAGTGATTCTTTGCATCCAGCTTGCAGGTAACACATTTCAAAGTCCCAGAGTGACCTGGGTGGTGTTGCATACCTGTAATCAGACCAATTCTTGAGAGTGAGACAGGAGGATTGCAAGTTCAAGTCAGCCTGGGCAACTTAGTGAGACCCTGTTTCAAAATAAAAATGAAAAGGGCTGAGGATGTGACTCAGTGGTAGAGCACTTGCCTAGCACATATGAGGTCCAGGTTTCAACCCTCTGTACTGGAAAAAAAAAATGTTTTTCCAAAGTGCATTATAGCCTTTGTTTGTCTCATCTTACTGAGACACTAAACTGCCTCCATTAATGCCCGGCACCTACTCTTGTTACGTCTTTCTCTCCCTCTTGTCCCAATAGCTGTCATGTCACCATCTTTGTATCCTGGGAGCCTAGCAGAATTCCTGATTTGTGGTATGTTCTCAGCAAATATTTGCTGGACATTGGGCTTCACCCATGAAGAAAAAATTGGTTCGGCCTCTCTAGCACTGTCTAGCTTTGAGTTATAGCTAAGTCCAGGTCCAAAAGAAAAGGAGTTATGGGAAAACAACCAGGAAGAGAGAATGAGGAAGGTTGGTAAACAGAGAGCCAACACCACACTCTTCTGCCCTCCCTGCCAGGTCCGTCAAGCTGCCCTGCACCAGCTGTTTGAAAAGGAGCATCAGCAGTACCAGCAAGAACTAAATCAGATGGGCAAAGCTTTTTATGTGGAGAGACTCTGACAGCCTCCGAAACACTGCTCTTCCCTTCTTGCCATACCTGCTAACGTAGCCTTCTTGAGCCTCTGCTACCTTGAACTTCCTTCCCCAAACAGCCTGAGCCTGGGACAATTTCCCCATCTTCATCGCCTTCCCTGTCAATCCCCTGCTTCCAACTGGGAAACAATCTATTTTTTAAAAAAATGATGAAGGGGGCTGGGGTTGTGGCTCAGCGGCAGAGTGCTCACCTGGCGCATGCAAAGCCCTGGGTTCCATCCTCAGTACCACATAACAATAAATAAAGATGTTGTGTCCATCTACAACTGAAAAAAATTCTTAAAAATGGTGAAAACGAGTGACGCCTTGTGGTCGGAGTGGGATCTGCAGCGTTGATGTAAGGTGGTGGGGGGTATATAATGGGAGTTGAAATTCTGATTTGATTTAACAAATAAAGCTACCTCTTAAAGGTTCACACTTTTTTGAACAGGGCTCATTCTCTCAGCCTCAAATCATTTTTTTTCTATTTCTGTGGTACTGGAAATTGAACCCAGGGGCACTTTACTACTGAGCTACATCCCCAGCCCTCTTTTATTTGAGACCCTGTCTTATTTTATTTTATTTGAGACCCTATCTCAAAGGGCCCCACTAAGTTGCTGAGGGTGGCTTTGAATTTGTGATTCTCTTGACTGAGCCTCCAGAGCCACTGGGATTACAGGTGTGTGCCACTGCATCCAGCTTTTTTTTTTTTTTTTTTTTTTTTACTTTTGAGGCAGGTTCTCACTAAGTTGCTGAGGGTCTTGCTAAATTGCTGAGGCTAGCCTCGAATTTGCAATTATCCTGCTTCAACCTCCCAAATCGCTGGGATTATCACTGGGGTATATGCCGCTCTGCCCAGCTTTGATTTGTTCTTAACTACCATAATTTTGATTTCCTGGACTTTGCACACCTCCTCTCAGATCTTGTCTGTATACTGGGACAGATAGCTTTGAATGTGGCTATTAATCTACAGGCACTATGGTGCCCAAGTGTTAGGATAACAGTATTCAAGGTTTTATGTCATTTAATTATTATGAAACCTTTTTTTTTTCCTTTGAGGTTGAACCAGGGCCCTTAACCACCAAGCCACATCCCAAGCCCTTTTATATATTTTATTAGACACAAGGTCTTGTTGCGTTGCTTAGGGCCTCAGTGAGTTGCTGAGGCTGGCTTTGAACTCACAATCCTCCTGCCTTAGCCTCCCAAACTTCTGGGATTACAGGCATGCGCCCCTGCGCCTGGCTTTATTGTGAAATCTTAGAAGCCTCTTTCCTCTGAGCCTGAATACCCAATTCTGCAAGAATGAGAGGATTCCAGACTCAAATGCCCCCAGGTAAAAGGCAGATAATGTAGAAGGTGTGAGAAAATAAAAGATAAGAAGATTTGTGAGAGATCAGGAAGAGTATGTCCATCCTAAAGGCATTTTAAATACTGAAAAGTACTGAATGTACCCACAGGACACAGAGAACATTATTAAGGCTCTATTTTCTATTCAAATGACTTCCAAAGCCAAAGAGACACACACTATTGTTCCCTAATGTAACTGTCACTCAAATTACTTTTCCCAAGTCTCTTGCCTTGCCAGTGGCAACTCTCTGGTCACTCATCTTGGCCACATGATCTTTTCCTCCCCTCAACTCCATGTGGCTGTCTCCACTACAAAACCCACAACCTTCATTTCCTCTCTCAAGTCTGACTCTATCCTTCAATTTTTCACCTTCCAGATGTTAGATCTTCTTCCTTCTGACCCTTCACATTCCTGATAAGTGCTGAGAGGTAACAGGGATAAAGAGGAAAGCACAAGACAGGCACCGTGGCACACACCTGGAATCCCAGTGCCTTGGGAGGCTGAGGTAGGAGAAACCCGAATTTGGGCAACCTAAGGAGAACCTGTCTCAAAATGAAAAAAAGGTCTGGGATGTGGTACAGTGCCCTGGGTGCAATCCGGCTGCCCTACAAAAGAAAGAAAAAGAGAGAAAGAACACAGGTTTTGGAGACAGGTGTGGTTTCCACATTCTGGCTTTGCTTCCTTAATTTGTGAATCATCATGTGTAAGTTACTTATCTGAGTCTCATTTCCTCTTCTGAAAATGAGGATAGGACAGGCTGGGGTTGTAGCTTAGTGTAGAACACTTGCTTAGCATGTGTGAGGCCCTGAGCAAAACACACACACACACACACACACACACACACACACACGAAAATTAGGACAAAAATACTCATCACAATTTCTTTTTTTGGCGAAAGGGGTACCGGGGATTGAACTCAGGGGCACTCCACCACTGAGCCACATCCTCAGCCCTATTTTGTATTTTACTTAGAGTCAGGGTCTCACTGAGTTGCTTAGGGCCTCACTAAATTGCTGAGGCTAGCTTTAAACTTGCTGTCCTCCTGTCTCAGCCTCCCTACCTGCTGGGATTATAGGCATGCGCCACCGCACCCAGCTACTCAGCACACGTTTGAAGATCAATCAAATAGTGAGAGCAAGCCCACTAGTGCTTGGCACACAGTAGGTACCCTCATGTTTTCCCTCAGATTTCTCCATTACCTAGGTCCCTGTTTGTGGGCCTCTGGCCAGCCCCCTGTTCACTTCACAGGTCATTTTTCATCCCATGCTCATCCCTCTCTCTCTGTCCTCCTCATTCTTCCATGTCCAGCCCCATCACCTCTGCTTCCTAAACCTCCATTTTAGTCGGTAGCCACTCATGCATGCGTCCTTCTGCCAAACAAAATGTGGAGCTCACAGGCTGTGCCGAGGGGTGAGGGTCATGAACAGTAATGACGGATACAAGGTGTATTTAATAGGAGTCAAAACCATGCACATGGGACCTGCAGTTGACCACAAACCTGAAGCTGCCTCCTGTTTCCTGCCCTCGATTTCCCAAAGGTCTGCTGTCTTGCCTAAAGGTCTGCTGTCTTGCCTTTATTACTTCGTTCATCTTCCCTCTTCCCTCTTATCTGTCTCCCAGTTCATTTGTGTTGTTGTTGTTTTTGTTGTTTGTTTGTTTGTTCAGGGGATTGAACCAGGCACTTAAGCACTGAGCCACATCTCCATCCCTTTTTATGTTTATTCTTATTTTAAGACAGGGTCTTGCTAAGTTGCCTGATGCCTTGTTAAGTTTCTGAGGCTGGCCTCCATCCTCCTGCCTCAGCCTCTCGAGTTGCTGGGATTATAGGCGTGTGCCACCATGCCCAGTTCCCAGGACACCTTTAGCTTCTTATTCACCAAGTTATGCGGCTTGTAATGAAGAGAACAGGCTGTAATACTGAGTGGGTCTGGGTTCCAATCCTTGTTCTGTCACCAGCTGTGGGACCTCATGCAAGTCACTTTGATTTTCTGGGTTACGGTTCCTTATGTGTAAGATGGAGATAATGTCTACTTCATTGGGTTGCTGTGGGGATGAAATGAAGCACCTGGCAGAGATTCACAACCAATGTCCCACAAATGGTAACCCACCCTGAGGTTTTCTGCCTCTAATGAGACTTTCCCCCTTCTTGCTTCTGCTCTATGACCTAGATTTTCCTATTTCAACGCAACTTCCTCACCACCTCTTCTATTTTTCGGTGCTTCTTTTTCTGTTCGTTTGGACCCACAGAATGTCCCATCCCCTCTGACATGATCCCTGACCTTGGCCTCTTACCGCAGGGCTTGTCAGTGCCAGGCTGGCTCCAGTATTGGCAGATCGGCCCCCCACGGAGCCCGTCCTCCCCGATCCTCTCAGCCTATCCTGTCGGCTCTCATCACATCACACGAGGTACCCATCCGGCCTCTCTTTCCGCTATAGTTGGTGCCTTGGCCAGATCCTGCGGCCCAGAAGGGCTCAGTCCTGTTTGAAGTAACCACATAGGAAGCACTTCCAGGAGAGCCAGAGGAATTTTATCATTGGCCATGTGACGTTTTTGCCTAATTATGACATCCAAAGTCTCCTTCTAAGAGAGCCAATATTCCCAGTCTGCTTCTGTCCCCCCAGTTCCCCAAACACCAAAGTCCTTCCAAGTCTTGCTAGTTTCTTTTCCAGCCTCCCTCCCTCCAGCCTTTGGTTTCCCAGTGAGAACGAGTTCCTCAGAGAAGGGGCTAGAACCTAGGGGGGTTAAGGGTAAGGAGGAAGGGCAAGAAAAATGAAAATCACACTTACACTTTGGGAGTCACAAATGAACAAAGATGTAAGACCACCCACCAGGGCCTCCACTGGGGCCTGTGTGCTCATCATTAGTCTCTCCCTGGAAGGCTAGAGCTGCACAATAGGAATTGACTGGGGCTTGGGACAAGCTATCGATCAAGATCAAGGTCATTGTGGAATTGGTGTGTGGCCAGGGGAGTGTAGGGACTAATGGCAATGGGAACAAGGACACATGGAACAGGCCTGGGGGCTAAAGCAGAGAGCCTTTCTCCCACCCGCCCCACTTCCACCCAACCTCCCCACCCCGCAGTGTAGCTATAACTCAGGCTCCTTTCGGCCGGCTGCAGTGGAGAAAGCGCCTGCCTACCACCTGACATACAACAGATCTGACTCTCTTCAAGAGAGAAAGAAGGGAAGAAGCCCGGACCCTGGAGGGAAGACCCCTGGAGAAGCCCGCCCAGGAGTTCTTGTGGTAAAAAGCCCCAGCAGAGAAGGCCACTGGGCTCCCTGTCTCTATCCTGAGTGAAAGCTTTCCTTTCAGTTCTGCCCGGCAGCAGGGATCTGGGCCTTCCCTCCTGCATCCCCACTGGAGCTCGCTGGTGAGACAGCTCACTCTTCTGTTCTGGTCCTCCAAGGGTGACTTTAAGGAGTATGCCTGGAGGTCATGGGGGGAAAGGTGAGAAGGGACAAGATGGAGGAAAGAAGAAGCCCGGCACTTTGGAGTTTCCTGACTATCATATGTTCTCATCTGTAGCAGGAGGTACCAAGATGGTGCCTACTGAGAGGACCTCGGCAACTTCCTTCGTGGGTGAGATCTGGAAAGGTTAGGAGTTCTGTTGAAAAGGTAAAGCAGGACATGGACATACAAGCCCTCCCACCCCACCCCCAGAAAGCCTCCAGCCAGCTGGAATGGCATCCAAGACAGCAGGTGGCAAAGCTGCTGACATTGCTGATCCTCCAGGCTGGGGCCGTGACATAGAGGGGAGACAAGCTTCGTGTGGGAGCTTTGGGGAATGAGATAGGTGCCCGGATGTGGAGTCCTGCCTGGTATTCTTCCTGCTTTAGGCCAGCGTGATCCAGAAAAGGCCAGGCACTGGTGGGAGCGGGGCTGTGGCCGGGAGGGCACGAAGGGCAGATGAGCAAGGGCTGGCTGTTCTGGGAGGTGCAAAGCAGGGGTCAGTGCCCTTCCAGAAGATGGCTCGCCATCTAGATGTGATTGGATCCAGTTGTCTCTGCCCTGACCTTTCTTTGAAGTGAGGAGAAAGGCTGGTGATCACCAAAGCTCTCCTGCTTGTGTTTGGGTTTTGTTTTTGTTTGTTTGTTTGTTTAGGGGTTTTCTTGTTTTGTTTTTTGGTACTAAGGATTGAAATCAGGGGCACTTTAATACTGAGCTACATCCCCAGCCCTTTATATTTATTTATCATTTTTGTTTGTTTGTGGTGCTGAGGATTGAACCTGGGGCCTTGTGCACACTGTGTTACATCCCCAGCCCTCTTTTTTTTTTTTAAATGCATTTATTTTTTAATTTTTTTTTTTAGAGAGAGTGATAGAGGGAGAGAGAGAAAGAGAGAGAGAAAGAGAATTTTTTTAATATTTATTTTTTAGTTAGTGGCAGACACAACATCGTTGTTTGTATGTGGTGCTGAGGATCGAACCCGGGCTGCACGCACGCCAGACGAGCACGCTACTGTTTGAGCCACATCCCCAGCCCCCCAACCCTCTTTTTATTTTTATTTTGAGACAGAGTCTCACCAAGTTGCTAAGGTTGGCCTTGAACTTGTGATCCTCCTACTTCAGCCCTCCAAGTAGATGGGATTTAAGGCATGCACCACCATGCCTTCCTACCTGCTTCTGTGTGATATGTTTGATATTGGGTTGTTTAATTAGAAACCAACTAAATGTCAAACATATTCTTATAGCAGCAGGCAATTCAGCATCACTCACACCTCTATCTCGACCTCTAGGGCTCTGGGACTCCTCTTTTTTACTGAACCTCTTCTCTTCAGGGCTACCCCGCTCCCCAAAGAGCAGTAGATGCAACCCAGGTGGATTTCAATCTTAACCTGAAGGACTGGTGTGGGAGAGGAAGAGAGCTGGAATTGGGAATCAAATCTCTCCATATCTTGCCCCCTTTCACTAGAAGGGATCATCTTTCTTTTTTGTCCTGTATTTTTCTTCTTTTGCCCCCTCCCCGCCATCCTCTGCTTCCTCTCCCTGGGACTCTGGTTCCCTGATTCTTTTCCCTGGCTCCTCTCCACAGTAGGGGTCTTTGGTTTCTCTGCTTTCCTTCAGGTCAGCTGATGGTCTAGCTGCTGGTCTACCAGTAGTAGTCTACTATACTATTCTGTGCCTGGAAGCTTTCATGAGTGAACTCCAGCTCCGCTCTGCCCGTTGTCCAGTTCCCACATGGCTGAGGCTTAGCATTAATACTAACTATCTTTGACATTATGACTAATTCAAGCCATTTATTCTTCTCTGGTCACCTTGAACACTGCCCACCTCTCCTCTGGCATATTCTTGGGTGTATGATGCCAGTATATGGGGATCAATTGCCACCTGCCAATAACAAGGCTCCAAGTGGAAAATGAACATGACTTGGAAACCCACCAGGGGGTTGGTGATGATTATAAAGGTGTGGTAGGCAATGGATTGGGTGTTGAAGAGACACCGTGAAGAGCAAAGAGCCACAGAGACCCTGGTATGTATGGACGCAAAAGTTCTAGTTAAGATCACTTGGGGGTGGGGGCTGGGGTTATGGCTCAGCGGTAAAGTGTGCGAGGCACTGGGTTTGATCCTCAGCACCACATAAAAATAAAATAAATATACAACATCAAATAAAAAAAAGGTCACTTCTTCGGAAAAAACAGATGCATTATCTTGGCATTATCTTGTCTGGATTACTCTGACCCTCCCTATTTCTCTCCCCACCTCACTCAGGCTCTGGGGTGGCCTTCCAGATCTCAATCCTACCCTCTTACTCTATTCCTATGCCTCTAGGGGAGAGGAACAATGTCTCCCTGCCAATTAGAGACTCCCAAAATAGCAGAGCAATTTGATCTGGAGATCTGGGGGAATTGTCAAGGATCATGAGTGACCTCCCCTCTTCACTGTTGTCCAAGTTCCCTGAATACCAGGAATCAAAAGATGAAACTCAACCAGTAGAGTTGGATCTGTATCCAACACAGTCTAGGGGAGAGCATGGAGGGAACTGAAGGGTAACTAGGCCCCTCAGGATGAATACTGCCATTCTAGAATTGCCAAAGTGTTCTTCTCTGTGTTCTCCCCTCCCCTGTCCCTGCATTTTTTTTATGTTTATTTTTCAGTTCTCGGCAGACACAACATCTTTATTTGTATGTGGTGCTGAGGATCGAGCGCGCTACCGCTTGAGCCACATCTCCAGCCCCTGTCCCTGCATTTTTAAATCACCCAGAAAGAGTGGAAAGTTTCAGGGTCAGGGAGAGCCTTTCCCCTCCCCCACTTTCCATTGTCTAAAATCAGCCTCAGCTGTTCCCCCTTGCTTTTTTTTTTTTTTTTTGGTGGTTGTTGTTGGTGGTGATGTCAGTCCATCAAAGTGTCTCACCCTGTGTTCCCCCGGGAGAATACTGATGGGGGTGGAGGGAGTTGGAAAGACCATATTGGGAATAAGAGGTGGAGCCCTAAGCAGAGATAAAGGCTCAAGTCTGGGGACCCCTCCTTGCTCCTCCTTTCTTGTCCTAGTCTCTAGTTCTCCATTGTTCACAGGTAATCCCACCAACAGCCACTGCTCATGATGGAGGCCATCAAGAAAAAAATGCAGATGCTGAAGTTGGACAAGGAGAACGCTCTGGACCGGGCAGAGCAGGCTGAAGCGGAGCAGAAGCAGGCCGAGGAAAGGAGTAAGCAGGTAGGCGCGGCACTGGGCCATCTCACCTGCTGGGGAACCGGAGCAGGAGAGGGAAGGGGGTTCATGGGAAAGGCAGTGACCACTGAGCCACCTCACCTGCTGGGGAAGGAGGGAGAGAGGGAAGGAGGGGGAGAGGGAAGGGGTTTCATGGGAAAGGCAGTGACCACTGGTGCCAGCTCCTCCTTTGGCGGGAGGGACTCCCCAGCCTCAATGGACAGTAGAGGACATCTAGGGTCCTCGAATGCCTGTGTAACTGTGGCAAAGTCAGTGGCCTCTTTGGTGCCACAGTGTGACTGCTGGATTAGTGGACCACATTTTGGAAGAACCTGACTTCTAGAGGAAAAGGTAAGAGTTTAACATGAACCACCTCTTTTCTCTTAAATAGTGTCACAGGTATCTTTCTACACTCTTGGATATTTACCATCTAAGGGTCTTGGATGAAAACCCAGGATGATTTGTTGATCTTAGGATCAGAGACTTTAGGGTCCCAGATCAAGCCACAGCATTACTCCTGGAGCAGTGGGATGAAGGTGGTTGGAGAGAAAATGTGTCTGTCTTTGGGGAGGGTAACCTGGAGGGTGGACTCAGGGTCTATCAGAGTCCGAGTCTGCATGATCATGCATGATCCAGATCTCAATCCTACCCTCTTTGTGTGTGACTCTCTGGACTCCTGTAGCTGGAGGATGAATTAGCAGCTATGCAGAAGAAGCTGAAAGGGACAGAGGATGAGCTGGACAAGTATTCTGAAGCCTTAAAGGATGCCCAGGAGAAGCTGGAGCTAGCAGAGAAGAAAGCAGCTGATGTGAGTATGAGAGAGATGAAGGATGTGTTTCATCTACACACAGACATCTTCATATTAATATATTCCAACACACTCTGATGTATACATACTTGTGGGCTCATGGAACATAGACATATATATCTATACACATTTTTGCATTTAATCACATGCCAGTAAATCCTCATAATGGCATATATTTTCTTTCTCAAAGACATGTTGGGGTTGGGGATGTAGCTCAGTGGTAGAGTACTTGCCCAGTACACATGAGAAATGGGTTGAAAGAAAAAAAAAAGAAAGAAAGGCCCAGTGCAGTGGTGCATGCCTGTAATCCCAGCAACTTGGGAAGCTAAAGCAAGAGGATTGCAAGTTCAAGGCCAGTCTGGGCAACTTACCAAGACACCCTGTCTTGCAATAAAATATAAAAAGGGATGAGGATGTGGCTCAGTGGTTAAATACCCTGGGTTCAATCCCCTGTCCAAGGAAAGAAAGAGAGAGAGATAGAAAAAGATATATATAACTAGAAAGGCAATATGTCAATCAATGGAAGGGTAACTGATGTGAAACAGCAATCTGTATACGGGGTAAAGTTGGGAGTTCATAACCCACTTGAATCAAACTGTGAAAGATGATGTATTAAGAACTGTGTAATGTTTTGAACGACCAACAATAAAAAAAAAAGATATATATATATATATAGAGAGAGAGAGAGAGAGAGAGAAAGACATTCATGTAGATGTCTCGTTTTTATTTTATCTACCCCGAGCTGGGGAACTTAATTATCTTTTCCAGGACTTGGACAAAGGGATTGGACTCCCAGTCCAGTCTGCTATCATGTATCCTACCTCCTACCCCATGCCACATTCTTAGCTTTTGTGTACAAGGCTAGGCATGTAGATGTGTGTATTAATAGAGAAACTCTCATATCTCAACTGCCCAACAAAGCCAGCTTGGATTTCACAATGGGAAATGGAGGTCACATTGACCCTGGCCCTATATGGGTCTATTCGTCTTGGCCAATGTGGACACCTGCCCTTATGCCTCAGATACCGTAGGAAGTACTGCTCATAGGGCAATTCAGAGGTCCCTAGAGTGGACTTTAATAGAAACTAAGGAATGTTAGGAGGTAAAGTTATCACCACCAGACCTTACTCTGTTCTTGATTAAATTATTGTTTCTGTAGGGCTGATTGTTCACATTTGAAAAGGAAGTAAATTACCTTTTTTTTTAACCACTTCATATTATCCTGTAACCACCTATTTTCTTTCATCTTCAATTTTAAAGTTTGCTGCAAAGATAATAGACCAGATAGGAAATTTTTTGGAAGAAAAGTACCATAGAAATATTTTTTGGGGAACTGGGGATTGAACCCAAAACCTTCCACCTGGGCTATAAACCCAGCCCACAGGAATTATCTCCCTACCACCTGTGATACTGGGGATTGAACCTAGTGGTACAGGGGCATTCTACCACTGAGCTACATTCCCAGCCCTTTTATTTATTTTGGTCTCATTAAATTGCTATACCTGGCCTCAGTCTCTGAAGTTGCTGGGATTATAGGTGTGTGCCACCATGTCCAGCTCTTTGTAAAAGAGAATTCTCACTTCTTGGAAAACTGCAAACAAACAAGCAAGCAAACAAAACCCCACAGGTTACCCCCAGGGTGAGCGATAGACGGCTTGTTGGAGTTGCCAAGCTTAGGTCCCAGGTATGGATGGATGAATCTCTCTGGTTCCAGTATATGGACAAGAGGATAGACGTCTTCACAAACTAGCACAATGTCAGGTTAGCATAGTTTTGTGAGATGCTAGAAAACAACTTCCCAGGGAGGTCCTTAAGCTAAAATATTTGCAGGCTCGAGGAGGTGTGTTCCACAAGCAAGAAAAAGGAGTCTAATATCAGATCTTGGAAGAGGGAAAGTGAGGGAGGCTATAGATAATAAATCTATCACCGGGAAGATAAAGGAATTTCTTGGGGCTGAATTCTGTCTGTTGAATTGTTTATTTATTTTATTTATTTATTTTGATACTTGCGATTGAACACAGGGGTGCTTTACCACTGAGCTACATCCCCAATCCTTTAACTTTTTTTTTTTTCTTTTTGAGATAGTGTCTTGCTAAGTGGCCAAAGCTGGCCTCAAACTTGAGATCCTCTTGCCTCAATCTCCAGAGTAGCTGGGATTACAGTTGTGCATTGGCACACCCAGTTTGTCTTAAAATGTTTTATACAACCAGGCATGGTGGTGTACACCTGTAATCCCAGCAGCTCAGAAGGCTGAGGCAGGAGAATCACAAGTTCAAAACTAGTCTCAGCAATTTAGGGAGGCTCTAAGCAATTTAGTGTCTCAAAATAAAAAATAATAACAGCTAGGGATGTGGCTCAGTGGTTGAGCACTCCGGGTTCAATCCCTGATACCAAAAAAAAAAAAAAAAAAAAGTCAAAAAAAAGGAAAGCAAGTTATTGTTTATAGGAATTGGAAAAGTACCAAATAAGGAAGAGTAGCAAGGTTTAAAAAGAGAGTAAGGGCCAGGCATGGTGACACATGCCTGTAATCTCAGCAGCTCAGGAGGCTGAGACAGGAGGAATGCAAGTTCAAAGCCAGCCTCAGCAACTTTGAGGCGCTACACAACTCAGTGAGACCCTATCTCTAAATAAAATCCAAAAAAAAAAAAAAATTAGGACTGGGGATGTGACTCAGTGGTTGAGTGCCCCTGAGTTCAATCCCTGGTAACCCCCCCAAAAAAGAGAGAGAGAGAGAGAGAGAGAGAGAGAGAGAGAGAGCGAGCGAGCAAGGGTCAGCATCATCTGCAGCATAATATATATACATCTTTGTGTGAAGGGTGCTTTGTCCAATACAAAGGAAGCTCTGTTCTTCTGATTAATAAATAAGTAAACAGGACATATTACCTTGTTGTAGGTGGACAGGGAGGAGAGGGATGAGGAAGTGAATAGCTGCATGTTTACACAGGCAGAACTGGTTATCTGAGAAGCCTTTGTGAAAGTCTAGGATTTGCTAGGACTGCTTGAACAAAGAAAGGCAAGGATATGGCAAAGGTCAATCCAAACTTTATTTTTTGTACTTCTCCAAGATTGTCTAATATTGTTTTAAAAATTGTGGCAAAATATAAATACATAAAATTTGCCACTTTAACCATCTTTTAAGTACACAGCGACACTACATATACATTTATACTGTTGTGCAACCATGCCTAAGGCCCTCTTCATCTGAGATGAAATCAGAAGATGTTTAGGGAGAAACGGGTAAGAGGAGTACAATGGTTAGGACACAGAGTCATAACATCCTTTTTTAGGAATAGGCATTGGGAGAGATGGGGGGAGAAGGAACAGACCTGGACATATAAACTTGTTGATATATTGTTTGTCACCAGGAAAACAATAGCACTGGGCCCCTTGCTGCCTATCCATCATGTTCCTAAAGGCTATCAGGAGTCAGCCCATCTGTTTCCCTGGATCAAGATGAGATTATCTGTTCAAGTCCACCAGCCTCAGGAATGCAGTGGCGCTCTCAACACTCCTTTGGGTTGTCTAGGATAAGGGCTTCAGCTTCTTCACTGGGGCCCAGAGAGGTGCAATAGTGCCCCCTGCTGATCAGTGTCCAGATAAGAAAATCTCACTTCCACTCACCTTGGGATGAGATTTCTTTAAAGCCAGCTGGAAAAATTAGGCCATCAAGTGTCTGCTCTTCCTTTGCAGTTACTGTGGGAGAAATCAAAGTACCCTACCAAGAAAATTTATTGTTGGTCCAAGTTTTTTTCTTTTGAATAAGGTCATTATTTAGTATTTCAAAAAGAGAGAGGAAGGCAGATTCTCTGGAGGGAGCATCTTTAGAATCAGACCCAGATATTACTCAACAATTGTCTTTCCAATTTAAGGGTTAAGATTCTTGATTCTAAGTCCTATTCTGTATGCTAATTCTGTAGGGGAAAAGAGCTGCACCAAAGGAGAAATTTATCATTATTACTTACTGAGAAGGATGAAGGAATACAAAGAAATAGAGGGGAAAATAAAATTTTCAAGTCTGGCTGGGCTGGGAATGTAACTCAGTGATAAATCATTTGTCTAGTGTGTGAAGACTCTGGTTTTGATTCCCAGTTCCAGCAAGGGAAGAAAAATATACCTCAAGTCTCTCTCTTTTTTTCTACCTTTTTTCTTTTGGTATTGGAGGTTAAACCCAGGGGCACTTACCACTGAGCCACATCCCCAGCCCTATTTTGTATTTTATTTAGAGATAAGGTCTCACTGGGTTGCTTAGTTCCCCCCAAGTTGCTGAGGCTGGCTTTGAACTCTCTCTCTCTCTTTTTTTTTTTTTTTAAGAGAGTGAGAGAGGAGAGAGAGAGAGAGAGAGAGAGAGAGAGAGAGAGAGAGAGAGAGAGAGAGAGAATTTTTAATATTTATTTTTTAGTTCTGGGTGAACACAACATCTTCGTTTGTATGTGGTGCTGAGGATAGAACCCGGGCCGAACACATGCCAGGCGAGCGCGCTACTGCTTGAGCCACATCCCCAGCCCTGGCTTTGAACCGTCTTAGTCTCCTAAACTGCTGGGATTTCAGGCATGTGCCACCAATCCTGGTTTCCCCATCCCTTTTTAGCTTCTTTGAGACTGGTTTCTCTAAGTTGCCCAGGCTGCCCTCAAACTTGTGATCCTCCTGCCTCAACCTCCCCAGTTGCTGGGTTTACAATGGTTTGCCATAGAGCCTGGCTCAAGTTTATTATTGTATTTCCAGAAATCCTGCATAGCAGTGTCTGTAGGAGCAGGATCTAGTTCCTTGGGATACCTCATGCAGTAGAGGCAGTGAAATTGGTGAAAGTCATAATAGAATGGAGGTTCAATTCCACAGTAGTTTTCCAGGCACCTCTATCTTGCTGTTGCACAAAGGATCTAGTGACAGGAATCTGCAATAAGAATTCCTTCCTGATAGAATGGGGGCATATCTGCAGAAAGGACTGTAAGTGATCATTAAATTACCAAGTCCTGAGTCATTCCAAAACTTGAAGGGGCTGG